ATATATGTATGTTCTCTACCAGTGAAACACATGACTAAGGAAAGCAATCTACTGCTATAAACACAACAGAGCACTGGAGGACAATGGATAACCCCTCGCTTAGGCAGAAAACTGAGGTGAAGGTTAAATAGATGACTGCTTTTCATTACAAAGGGATCTTGGTAACTCGTTCCCAAACAAAAAAGCAAGCAGCAGTGAATATTAATCACAGGTTTTTCAGCACGCCAAGGACTCTGACTCCTCAGTAACACTATGGCATCAGTTTCAGGATGCTGAAGACTGTTCTCAACCTTCTAAACATCTGGCCAGCAATGCTCTTGTTCAGGGTGCACCTCAAGAACCAGAAGCACCGCGGTTTCTCCGCGGGCCTCTCTCTTCTCTCCCGCTTGCTGCACAGGAACAGCCCATAACAGAGGGCCTCCGGCTCCAGTAACTGTGGGCAAGTGGGCAAGTGGAATAAACAACAGCGACTCATGAACTGAGTCACACCTGAGCCTTCATTCAGCAAATACGACGTGAGAAAACAAATGGTAACAGAAGTACAGAGATATTGAGAAGGGAGAAGCTCTCCTCTCTCAAGAACAAGGTGATAGGGGCTCCAGTTCCTCCAGTGCAAAAGGTGAGAGAAAACTTTGTCACTCTTTTCAGGTGACATCCACAAAAAGCTAACGAAGCAGCCATAAAAAAATCCAAGAAGAATTCGGCACCAAATGCACTTTAGAAAAAATCAAAAAAAAAAATCAAAAAAATCTGAGTTTCATGCAGGACGAGAACTCCCTATCGCAAACCCACAGGGGAAAAATGTTTTTTCTTTTAAACCATTATGATACAGTACAGATCACTGCTGTCTGAAAGCTAAGATAAATACAGCTACCCACAGTGTCTATCAGAAAGAATAATCACTTCAGAACTGCTGCACTGTCCGCCTGTATTACTTTATTTATTTAGGCTGGCAATTTTGATTTAGATCATCTCATAGTGGTAAAAACTTTGTTTGTGGTTGTTCTTGCTTATCTACCAGGAAAAAACCTGCATCACCAAAATATGTGTATAGCCTTCATCGATTTAATGGAATGTGGTGCATGTTCATCTCAGATGAAGCTGGATGAGAACTAATTGCACTATAAGATACTGCTTTTAACACCTGGCTATTTCTTTCTGTACTCAAACAAGCTGTTCTTACATCTTCTGCATAAGTACTAAGCAGGATTTTAATTTTTTTGTTAGTATTCTTTTAAGTATTTATTTGAATGTTCACTTTTCACATGTGCTGCCACCTTTCCTATGAGATTTAAACTTAAGGTCCTGCACGTAGTTCCTTGATGCTTTCTCATAATGACATTGTACATCAAAATACCTTCCTCTCCCATTACTTAACACTATTACAACTATCTCCCATTACTTAATGCTATTACAACTAGAAGTTTCATCATCCAATGTGCCTATAAAGGCTGTAGACAATTTACATGTTTAGGAGGTCTTGCTGTATTCACTTATACTTAATATGCAAGGATTAATATTTATATAAAATATCCAATCTTTTCCTGGGTGCATTAAAATGACTGCTATTCATGCCACTATACTTAAGGTCATGCCAGTATTTACATTATAAACTCTCTATTTACAGATATCAGGCATGAAACTCATTGTATGAAGTCACAAGGGCTTCAAAAAAACCACCACCACTAGTTGAGAAAGCTGTCTTTTTATTTTTCTTTTATGAAGTCCTCCAAATCTTTAAGCCTATGGAGAACCTAGTTAGAGTCAATGGAGAAACCTCAAGGGGGAACAGTATAAAGCATTTAATGTATAATTTTGAGTTCTAGGGTCACAAGATCTTACATTCTCTCTCAGACAGAACTCCTAGTGTTTCTGTCTCTGGCACATGAAAGCTACAAAATGGCATTAAATATTTAAGTATCTCCAAAACGTATTTAATCTCTCAGTCTCTTCCACAGCCACAAACTGAGCTTATTGTTTCTGAAGCTTCACACTCTGCCTGATCTGGTACTGACAGTGGGGAAATATCTCTTCTGAACTATGAGACTGCTGGAAGGTAACATACACAGTACAAACTGTATCATGGGATGCTTTTAGAAATGTATGCAAAGTGAGTTCTGGCAGTCTCTCCTTCTGATGTCTGACTCAAGATGCCCTCCTTTCTGCTTTTCCTTATATGCTGAGAGAGGTGAGCTGAGACAGTAAGTTGCCTTTGATTTTCTTTTTTTTCTAGCACCTTTCTTGGCCTCTGTGCTTGGAATAATGGGGATAATTTTCATTTTGGCTTGCAAGCATGGAGAATCTCATCTGTTTCTATAACCAAGTTTGTCAAAATTTGAATCGCTTTCAAATAACCTGTATAGAACCACCTTTGCACAGTGAAAGATGTAGGTGGCTAAATGTAGCACATGTTCCTGAAACAGTCTGTTTTAATTCTGGCATAAATTTACGAAGTGCTGTGCATGCAATCACATCCCTCAATTCCCTTTTTTAGTCCAATATGCCATTATCCATCCTTTGCAACACCATCAAAACGTGCTGCTTTGAAATCAGTCTGAGATTGAAAAGGGGAGTAGCGCTGCTCCTTACCTTCATGAATCCCTCCAAAGACATGGAGTTTGGGCCTTACTCGCCTCTGCACCGTGTTCAACAGCTCCACGCAACCCACTCTCTGCAGCTCCTTTGGAACCCAGTCTCGAAAGCCTGAAGGTAAAACGCAGTCAATACTATTAATTTTCTCTATTCAGGTAAGGTTTCACGTAGTCTTTCAGGAAGTCATAATTCACGGAAGGTTTATTACATTATCTGTAGTCGTAACCTCTCCATTAAAGCACACAATTGCTTTTAAGAAATGTTTCACTGTCACTTTTGTCTTCCTTAAGATTTCCTCCCTCCATCTGCATTAATATTTTTCTGGATGTGATTTGTTTTTTTTAAACTATAGGTTTAAACTCACCTTCCACCTTGAAACCCTAGGACATTTATTCCCGGCACTGCTACAGATTTTTCTTCCCTTTCCCATGCCTCTTACAGCAGTCAGCTTCCCAAGCCAGCTGTGTGGTTACTCGAGAAATGAAACACCTCCGGAAGATCAGCTGATCTACGATCTGATACCTCTGCCATCCCAAAGATTTAAAATACACTCTCCCACAACTTCCAGAGGACCATGGCTTCCAAGGGTCAGGTTACTTCTGAGCCCCTGGTCACCAACAACAAGCAAGGTAGCAAAATAGCTTCCAACACGCTACCAGTAATTGATTATGTTGCCACTTTGTCCTATGGATAATGTGGAAAAATGCACAATACTTGACATCAGCTACTACAGAAGTCTGCTGCCTGGACCAGCACTGACAAGGATCAGCAGGGCAAGATGAATGAGGAGGAGTAAAGGGAAACCAGGAGCCACATCCAACTGTAGCACTGTTCTACTGACTTCAGAGTAATTACACCCTGTGCCAAGTTTATCCCATGTAGTAAAAAAACATGTTGTGACATGAACTTGACTAGATTTTGGAGAGAACAAAGAGTCCAGTTACAGCTCTACCTCCCTTAATATTTACCCAATTTAAAAAGCAGCATTTTGTCAATATTATGATGCAGGCTGAGACCTAGACTCCCTCCTTTCAGGCACAGTACTAACAATCTGTGTCTGTAGTTAAAATACGGTGCCAACCTTTTGAAATTGAACTTCATTATCTCCATCAAACCCAAATTTAAGTACGCTAATTCAATTAAAGCACTCGTTAGTGTCTGCAGCATCACAGTATTTCTATATGAACCCAATTCAGAGCAGATAGATTAGCAACCCATTTAAAATAGCACCCATGAAACATTATAAACATGCTTGTGGGATTTTTTTGCTTCTTTGGGAAAATAAACAGATTAAGAGAGTGCTATTCAAAGCGTTGGTTTTCAATATCCGGCGTGCTCCACTATCAGTGGATGGTGTATTGCTGCTTTACCAAAGCAGCATGCTGGCAGCTCTAGTAAGTTTAAAGAGAATTTGCAGATCGTCTTACAACATCCTCTAAGTAGTATTAAGCAGTAACTAGGATATAAAAGGAACAGTAAGTACATCACTGGTCAAAAACTTTCTGGACTTTTTTTTTTGTCCCTTAGCTCTGCTTAGATTGCTGACTCTTTAACTTAATTGTGGTACAAAACATAAGCATGCATTAATTCCTGACTCCATGGTCACTGAGAAGCTCTATGAGAGCACTGAGCCAGCCTGGTAGTACTGAAATGCCGTCTTATAATAGCACTTTGCAATTCTGAGAAGTTTTTTTATATTCACTACCATGTCAAAAGTCAGCGACTTCATGTGATCATGTGATGATCTGACCCCCTTGGATTTCAAGGGCTTACTAAAACTCTGTCAAAATCACAGTCTACTAACAATAACGGTAACGAAGAGGAGACTGACAGGCTTTCTTCTCCTGGTAAGTTGTATTTACAAAAGGCAGATGCTCAGTTGTTGTAAAACCAACTGAAATATTTAAAATATGGTCCTAGACTGCTTTCCACATGTGTCTTAAATAAAAGCAGTATATAAGATGCGATGCTATCTTGTGCGGTACATGATACGGAAAAAATAGTGGGAATTTTCAAATGGTTTTAGTGTGGGCTTTAATGACTTCAGATATGCCAAAACTTTTTTTGATCATCCTGGCGTCCTTCTGAGACCATCAGAACTTAGTTTAGAACTCAGAATTAAAACGGGCATCAGTGAATTACTCACATTTACAAGGCAAGCAAAATTTAACAAAATGAAAAACTTCAACTACTTAATGAAAAAACAAATTATGCATTCATAGACTTGTGCTCACTTGTCATTAGTTCGAGTAAGGAACAATTACCTAAGAACATAATTTTACTCCTTCATAAATTTGCTATGAGCCAATTAGTATCTTTAAAAGTACTGTTACATATTCTAAGTTTACAAGGACACTACCAAGGAGAATACGTGACTACATACTCCTGAACTCTTGACTGCGTACTCTAAAACCTTAAGGTAACATGTCGTTGTAGTAAAAAATGTTTTAAAAGTTTTAGTCAATCTCTGAAAAATCATATGGGAGTGGAAACTGTTTGTCAGATGAATACTGTTCTTAAATAAAATGTCAAACTATAACGCCTGTGGAGTCAGACATTTGATCTTCTCCTGAGTTTAACAAAAAATTTAGTTTTTATTAAGAAAACACTTGGAGGCTGAACAGTCCTGCTAAGCCTAATAATCACTTTACACTTCTTCCAAAAAGGTTTTTTAATTCCTACTTTTGAGTTAGGGTGCTACTACAGTATAGCTTATAGCATTACTAACTTTGCTTATTTTGAAAATAAAATTCTCATGCAAAATACCAGCTTTTGTTTCACTTACCAAGGGGAGGTCCATGGGTCATTAGTATATCAATTCCCTCAGGAATAAGGTTCCACTTGTCTAGCAAAGACTGACCTCTGGGTAGGTTAAAGCCCCATCCATTAAACCACGGTGTCCTTTGGGGGAAAATAAGATGAACTGCATCAGCGTAAAATAAAAATCTCTTCCCTTCTCCAGTTTTCCTGAATTAACACAATTTCTGTGCTTCAGACGTTATTTGTAGACAGCCTTTTTGAAGGGATGCCTCTAAAACAAACTGGTTCAAATACATACATACACTAATCTATACATTTGAATTTAGATTAATATCCTATGTTCTTTTTTGTACTTCAAGAGTACTCAGCCCTGAGGGTGTTTACTCACTAGAGAGAAAGGGGAAAAAAAGTTAAAATAACATCGTCCAAATCTAAAGCTTTTTTCAAAGTCTGGGGACATTCAAACATCAGAACTCCTTCAGTTATGTTACCTACCAAAACAAGCAAAAAAAAATCTTAAAAGGTTTTTTGGAGGCAAGAGTCAATTTCTGACAGCACCGGGCAGCTAGTGGGTAACAGTTCAACAGGAAGGTTCTACGGTATTTCACTGAAATCAAACTTGTTCCTTCTAGCACTTTCCATGTCAAACACTGTCACATAACTTGGCTTTGAACTCCTGAGCCTCCTATGTCTTGACGACACAACGTTTAGCCCCACAATGACCTTTTAAAGAGATCTTATAATTTAAAATTCATTTAGTATTTCTTAAGGAAAACTGAGATCCTCAGTCTCCTCCACCATAGCATAGCGTTCTGAGACATTGGTTTATCCATCAACCCAAGCACACAGTGATGAAAAGTGGACCTTCTATGAGTACTTTTTCAATGTGTAACAGCCAAATTCAGTAATTTTGATGCAGGTACATTGTAATAAAACCTTTCCTTATCAGACAGGTACACAGAGCACTTGTTCTGAAGAGATACTATAATATCTACACCTGTTACTGACAGCTTTTTATACAGCTGTTAATATTGTACTAATTTTAAGACTTTTCATCCATGTGCGCGTTTCCTAGAGCTCAGGCAACAGATTTAGGCTTCATTTTCTCGGTAGGATACTCCTGTCCTAACTCTAGTCATTTGGAGGCATCTTTCTGAGAGTTCAAGTTACTCCTACAGTCTTCTGTGTACTGCCTTTCTGAAAATAAAAAATAAAAAATGAGGGAAAAAAACCAACCACAAACCAACCTTAAAGAAAAGCACACCTGTTAAAAAGAGAGAGATCATTAAGTGTCCTACATAATTTCATTATGTAATCTGCCTCCTGTACCCTCTAAATTATGCATTTTTCAGCCTTAAACATGCA